TGGCAATTAGAAGGTTCCTTTTGATTCTCAATCAAGGTTGCGAGTCGTCAGATCCTATGCAATGTAGTCTTGATGAAATTAATTCAACTGTATCCTATTTCACAATCGTAGAAAGAACTTCTTATTCAAACTCAGCTAGCTAAAGCGACTTATCTCTCTGGTTTTCCTCCGTGAGAGTGCTTCGTGACTTATCCAGTACTGTAAGGAGTATTTGGAAAGAGTAAGTGATTTTCTCGTTGCGTTACCGTTTTCTATCTTCAGCGCTTCACTGGTCCCACCCCGCTAGGAACTCCCTTTTCTATTAATTAACCAATCAGATGTCGTTTTAAGACAGCATAATGGATTATGCACGCCTTCATCTCCACTTCCTTCCGAGTTCACTTCCGAATATGCTAATCAGAGAAGTGTCGGAAGTGGGGAGTTTTTGCTATTGGTCATCTCTTCTTAATTGCTTCTCCCTTCTCTGGGACTTGGCTAGATGAAGGGTCCTCTTGGGCGTGGTCAGTTTTGGAGGCGACCGACCAGATGTGACTGACACAGAAGGCAATGCAAGTATTGTCTTAATGAGTCTAAGCGGTTAATACAAGTTGTCGCACGTTCGGGAATTTTTGGTTGCAATGAATAAAGAAATGTTTTGTACTCGATATTTCATATATCGAGTGATATTCGTTCGGAATCTACTCAAGGGTTTTTCCCGGCAATAAACCCATTAGTTCCACTGCGCTGTAAAGCAAAGACACGTTTCACTGGAGTTTTCCAGATGTTTTATGACACTAGTGCGAAATAATTATGAGCAGAAAAGTTTTGAATCCTAATGTGAATTTTACGATGTCGCTTGCCAGATGTTTTATTGCATTTTAAGCGTTCTCACATTCTCAAATAGTAGTCCTAGAATTTTGCTAGTATTTTAGCTTAAGTTTACTGACTATTCAGGATTCAGTTGTGCCTTAATGGCGGTGATTACTTCTTCGTTCGTGGAGTGCCATTTTGCCAATAAGAATCCGCCTGCCATGCAGAGGTCCCTTAACTGTGTCGCTGTTTCCACTAGCTGGCTTAGATTGTCCGCACCTCCAAAGATATCATCTACGTATCTTCCGTATTTAAGAGAAGGTATTGCGAGTGGGTAGTTGTCTCCTTCGTCCTGTATAAGTTGGAGGAGTGTTTGTACAGCTAAGAATGGGGGCGCTCTGGTCCCATATGTGACTGTTGTTAATTGGTATATTACTTCGTTGCCCTGTTCGTCCATCCACAGAATTCGCTGTAGGTCCCAATCGTCTTGGTGGACCAATATTTGTCTGTACATCTTTGTGATGTCTGTGGAAAATAAATACCGGTGTTTTCGTATCCAGATCGGTACATCTATAATGTCTGGATTTAGGTTGGCTCCCCTGTGCATTATATCATTTAGCGATAGTCCTGCTGATGAAGGGCTTGACCCATTAAATACCACTCGTAGTTTGGTAGTAGAGCTGCCTGGATTTAATACACCATGATACGGCAGATAGTACGTTTTGTTGTTGGACGGGTAGTTTTCAGGTAGCCTTCGCATATGATTCATTTTATCATACTCTGTCATGAATTTATTGTATAATTTTCGATAGTTGCCGTCTCTCATGAGCCGTCTTTGTAGGTGTAGTAGGCATTGATGGGCCACGTTGTATGATTCGCCGAGGGTTGCAGGCGATTCTCTTAGGGGAATTTTTACGATGTACATTCCTGTACCTGCGCGTGCCTGATTCTCTACACAGTGCTGTTCGCACTGCTGCTGATCTGGATTGGTTGACCTTCTAGACCCCTTGGTACTTCTTCTTGTATCCAGAATTTCATTAGTAGGTTTTGCAGGGTATCTTCTAGATCCTCTGTGATTATGGTCATTGATGTTGCAGTGTGAGAGTGATTGTCGACTGGTCCAATAATTACCCAGACGAACATGGATAATTGTGTTATAGGTAAAGATGGTAAAGACTTGATGATATTGGGTTTTATTACTTGTCCATACGAGTTTTTTGAGAATAACCTTTTTAATTCCTTGTTAGCTCCTGCAAATGTTGTACCACAATCTGAATACAACGTGTGGAGAATGCCTCAGCGAGATGTGAATCGCCGAAAAGTGGCTATGAAACCTTCAGTGGTGTAGTCGCTGACAGCTTTGAAATGAACAGCCGATGTAGCAAAGCATACAAAAACGCAAATCCATGCCTTCTGAGTCTTAGCGCCCTTGCCCTTCCAAGTTTTTATAGTCATGGGGCCAGCATAGTCAACACCGGTGTACGAAAATGGTCTGGATGGCGTTATTCTAGATAGTGGTAATTGGCCCATCAATTGTTGGGCTCGAATTCCCCTCTGCCGTGCGCATATGGGGCATCATAGAACATGAGATTTTACCGCTTGTTATCCTCCTATAATCCAATACTGTTGTCGAGTGTCCGCCAGCGTGAGTTGCGTGCTTCCATGAAGTGTTCTAACATGGGAATGAGCTATTAAGAGGTTAATAAATTGAGTGTGACGTGGTAGAATTGCTGGATGCCTTTGCTCGTATGTCAATGACGATTTCATTAATCTTCCTCCAACTCTAATGACTCCTTGTGAGTCAATGAATGCTGTTAGTTGATGAAAAACATGTGATTGTGGTAAACTCAGGTTTGATTTCATAGAATTAATCTCTTGAGAAAAATAGGTGGCTTGCGTTGCCTTTATCCAGAATATTTTTGAGCTTTCTAGAAAGAGGATGAGTAGATATCAGAATGAGAGATACATAACCTTTACTTTGGATAGACGTCTTTCTGCCAATTCCATAAATTTGAACAGCGGAGTGTTGTCGAATTAATTGCAGTCTTTTAATTAATTCTTCAACAACAAACGTGGTTTCTGATCCAGTATCAACTAATAGTCGAGCCTTTATCGTAGTTGTTGGTGCTGAATCTTTACTATTGCAGTGGCCAATGGTGTGGTAATCACTGGCTGTCTGACTATAAACCCTTCTAGTCAGATAGAGGACTTGTCCTTCTCCTTCTCATTTGCAATTATCAGTTGATTTCTGTGTAATATGGAGTGGTGTCGTCTATTGCACTTGTTGCAAAATATTTTACTTGTGCAGAAGCCCTTATGACCTTGTAAACAGTTAAAATATAGTTTGTTATTTTTTACAAATGTTCATCTGTTGTCGATTGATAACTCCTTGAAATGATTGCAGTCAAACAGGCGGTGTTTCTTCTTACAGTATTGACAGGTTTTGTTAGGTGGGGTTTTATTATTATCTTCCTGTGTCGTGGAGTGGAACGCCTTGATTTGTTGTCTCCCCTTGGGTCTTGACTTACTTTGAGGTTTTGTCTCTTTCACCTCAATCCAACAAGCATTTTCTAACGCTGTTACTTGGGCGGCAAAGTAAATTCTTAGTTGAGCATAAGGATACACTTTTGAATTACCTAACAATCTTCCCCATTCAGTTCGTGTTTGCTCATCCTTTTATTTTATGACTTGATGTACTCCAAGTGCTTCCCGTGGGTTTTGTATTTCAAAAAGATTCAATCCATCGATAATGTCACCTACATAGTTTATCGTCTCGTCCAATTCGATGGCTGATCTCTTTCTTGAGTGGTCTTGAGCATTTTTTGCAAGTGTGGGTTCACTGCTAATCTTGGACTATCAAACTTCTCCATTAATTTCTTCCAAGCTATGCTGAAGGAAGTATTTTGTAGTGATAGTCTAGATACCATTTTAAATGCTGGTCCCTCTAATGCAGACGGCAAATAATGAAATTTTTGCACTTTGCTTAACTTACTGCTTTTAAGTACAAGTGATTCAAATAGGTGCTTGAATGAGGGCCAAGCCATGTAATCCCCCAAGAACTTAGGAATAGGGATGTCAGGAAGACGATTTATTTCCTTTGTTCTTCCTTCTGTTGTAGAGGTGTCCTCTGATTTATTTACTGGATTCGGTGACACATTGAGTTCACGACACAATTTTCTTATCTTACTTTAGACCTCAATGTGGCACTGGATCTCCTCTCCTTATGCATTTTGTGTGAAATAATCATGATTGATAAACGACGATAGCCAAGTTGATTCAATGTACTAATGTTCCTTATTGAACATTTTATGAATTTCATCAATGGCCTCTTTAATGCATATTATTTCATCAATGTCTGCGTCTATGTGAGACGTGAGAAGGCTTTTTATCAATGTTTTGATAGTTGCTATCCGATTGAATTGTCCTGATGCTTGAGCGTATGTTCATCGGATGGTCTTTCTTTGTTAGCACTATGAGTGACTCTTGTTCCACTCGCAGTTGACGCTGCCATTTCATCACTGCTTTCCTGTTGGCAAGCCATTCTCTATTTGTATTAATATTAAATAAATACACTAACCTTCACTAATCTGGCTCAAAGGACCAAATGATCAAAAAATAATTCTACTAATCTGACTCGTCAGCCAAACGTGCAAAATCAACTTAGAACAAAAAAACCACTAGATGTTGTGTGAGAAATGCTGGGCAAGTAAAGGTTTAATACACTGATTCAATAATTAACACATATCATTATTACTGCTGTTTATTTTATTTATTTCACTTTATTTCCAAGTAGGGATCATTAACCGTGATGAGATTACAATGACTTTTATATTTCTTAATGATCTTGCGGCGTTGAGATATACTTTTATTGAAGAACTAGAGGATAATCAATTCCTTATTCTCGACGTGTAATTTGTGAGATTATGATTTACTGTGAAAAGAAACATAATCTATTGAATATTATCACTTTTGAGGTTATGGTTGTTGTAGTGTTCTAGTCGAATACTACTATCTTGCCGTGTTTCAACTTAACACATGTTGTAGTTGCCTCTGAATAATAGGCCGTTTACGAGCCTAAATAGAGGTTATGCGAAGCTGTGCGCTACTTGTGGCGTCAACAACTGGTCGTTGGACGAAATGAAAAGCCACTGTGTGGTGTTAACAGCTGGTCTTGCTTTTAGAGCATGCATGGGAAGATTCACTAGTCGGACCTTCAGCCGTCCGTTTTCAGAGTAAAGCCGAGAGATACAGAATCAGTACTAGCGGTAAGGACTTACTTACAGTGTAGCGTGATTCTTCCAGTCTCTCTTCGTTGGCTTGATGTGAAGTTCCCCTTCAATAATTGCAGTTCTTAAGTTCCTTCCTTGTCTCCAAGTGAGATTACTAGTGGTCTGGTCCTATGCAATCTAATCTTGATCAGATCAATTTTAACTGTATACTAATTCACAATCGTAGAAAGAACTTCTATTAGATTCAGCTGAACGACTTTGTCTCCGGTCCTCCTCCGTGAGAGAGTAAGTCGTGACTTGTCCTTCAATTATGAGAAGAGTTAGAATTGGAACAAGTGGTGCTACATTACATTGTTCTTTCTTAAATGGTTCACTGGTCCAGTTCCACTTGGGACCCCTCCTTCTATCAATTAACCAATCAGAGGTTGATCTTGGGCAGCACAATAGATTATGCACGCCTTTATTTCCACTTCCTTCCGGGCTCAGTTCCGAATATCGTAATCGGGAAAGTGTCGAAAGTGGGGAACCCTTGCTATTGGTCACCTCTCCTTGGTCGCTTCTCCCTTCTCTGGGACTTGGCTAGATGCAGGGTCCTCTTGGGCGTGGTCGATTTTCAAATGCGGCGTAGTTAAAATAATGGATGCATTGTCTTAAAGGCCGAGTGCGCACGTACGGCTATTGCATGTTGTTGCACGTACGGGGTTTTTGGATTGCAGTGAATTTTAGGAAATGTATTGTACTCGATAATTTACGCAGATCTGGTATTCGTGCAGAATCTACGTTAGTGTTTTCTTGGCAATAAACATATAAAGTTTTACTGTACTGGAAAGCATGAGCACGTTTCACTGGAGTTTTCCAGATGTTTTATGACACTAGTGCTAAATAATTGTGAGTTGCGGTTTTCTGTGTCAGTATTCCTGTCTAGTCATCTGGTGTGTAGTGATGGGCTGGCGTCTTTGGATGTAGGGCTAAGTTCTTCATGCAATAGAGTGTGACGTGACTTGCTGCAGTCCGTGAATCCCCTTTTGCTGAAGCATGGGCTAGGTAGATTGTTGCCAAGGCAGTTAGTGCATAGCTGTAGCTTCTTTATCGCAGCCAATCTGTCGGCACTGCTGAGCTTCCTGAATCGACTGCATGTCCAAATTTTGTGTCTTTCTTGGCAGTAAATACATAGTATTTGCCTGTTGTAGGATTTGCTGTTTCTTTCTGGTTTCTCATGGGCAGTTGATGGCTGACATATTCTTACGAATTTCTTGTTTGAAGTGTTGAATTACTCAAGTGAAACTAGTGCCAGTCATATCTGTGATAGTCAAAGTCGTCTAAAGAATTCCGTGCAAGGTATATTGATTGTACATATTGATTATTCGATTATTATTATTGCTGGCCAGCTATCGGTGCGTCCTCCGCAACGTGACACTAGCCATCTCCAGCATGTTACTTACACTTCTCGTGATCCTCCCCGATTTCTCGTGACCGTTCGCGGCCCACGTCTACACTATCAGTGAAACCTGTGCGACTTGATTCTTATCAGATCGCTAAAGAGAGCGCCGATACTGATTAGTAGATTCTCATTATCACTGTGAAACATTGCCGGTCACGCCAAAACAAATTGGTTCTGATCAAACCACAAAAGAGGGCGACAACAATGCGTAATAATCCCCACCACCGTCACGAGCCGAATATCACTCAGTTCAAT